CGCAGTGCTGGAATAGCTGCAATTTATGGATCTCCCAGGTGTACCGGGACTGAGGGATGCTGCCGCTCCATCCGCCCGCACCGCTGTGACACCGAGGAGCTGCACAGCACCTCCTGCCCTCGGTGTCCCAGCTCCTTCCCCTGCTGCAGTCTTTGATGGAGACCAACCTGCACCCAAAACTTTCCCCACTTCCCTTCAGTCCTAGGTCTTGCTTTGCATCATCCCAGTGATAAACCCAGCAAGGGATGATTCATGGTACCAAAGAGGTTTGCTCAGGAGAAGTGATGCCTTTCCTCCTCAGTGCATCTCCAGTGGTGCTCAGGAGGGTTTGTGGTGCTGTCAGCATGGGCTGCCACTCCCGGCACTGCTGCTGCACTGGGGAAATGGCTGGAAGTGGGACAGATCCTATAGCATGGAAAAAATAATCCTGCTATTTCTGGAAACCCAGAGCTTCCCTGACAAAGTGTATTCCTTACAGCTCCACACTGGGGCTGTGGAGAGGCCACCCCTCCTGCCTCTGCCCCGGCTCCCAGTCCCACAGACCCCACAGCAGCCGCTGCTCCTCTCCTGTCCCCATATCCCCTCCAAAGAGCCCTGCTGTCACCTTCCCCCTCTGACCCACAGGGATGGGGATGCATCCTCAGCATCCTCCTCGCCTGCCCTGCCTGCAAGCCAGGGTGCATCCCTGCTTAACTACAGCTTTGGAGGATGAAGCTTTTACATCCGGGGCAAGGGGTGCATTCAGCCCCGCTCCCAGCTCACCCCTGGACCAGTGGGCATCGATCCTTGCTCAAGAGAGGAATTGGGGCTGCAAATCCCATTTGTTCTCCTATGGATTACTGAGGGGAAGAAGGGATCTCTGGAGATGGGGTGGCTGAAGGGCTGTGGGGGGCAGATGCAGCGTCGCAGGGATGGGTGAGGGCAGAGCAGAGGTGAGATGGGTGCTGGAGAGCAGGCACCCAGTGCAGGGCATCTCCCAGGCACGGCGCCGGGGCCGAGCCAGGATTGATCCCTCTCTGCACCTTGCAGGAGTGGGCGGACGTGTGTTGCAGGGGGCTCCGGAGCGTCCATGCCTACATCCTGGTCTATGACATCTGTTGCTTTGACAGCTTCGAGTACATCAAAACCATCCGCCAGCAGATCCTGGAGACGAGGTAGGGATGCATCCCCCCGCAGCGCAGTGCTTCCCTGCTCTAGGCACTGGGGATGTGATACTGCAGACTGGGACAAAGCCCCTCTGCGGGGCTGGGAGCCCTGAAGCAAAACTGGACCTGAGGGCAGAAGGAGCTGGATGAGGCTTGGAGCAACCTGGTCTAGTGGAAGGTGTCCCTGCCCATGGAGCTGGATGAGCTTTAAGGTCCCTTCCAACCCAAACCAGGCTGGGATTCTACGACCCCGGACGGGTATCACCTGTGGGTGAGGGCAGAAAGCAACTGGGTCTGACACAATGCAGGGCTGGCCACGAAGAGGGATGAGGCAAGAGGAGTCGCATCCCTCTTGCCAAGCCAAAGCCAAGAGCTGGTTTGGGATGGGTTGGGGTCAGCGGGCCCATCATCACGCTGTGCCCTGTCCCCTTTCTGTGCTCTCTCCGCAGGGTCATCGGCACATCGGAGACACCCATCATCATCGTGGGCAACAAGCGGGACCTGCAGCGGGGCCGGGTGATCCCGCGCTGGAACGTCTCCAACCTGGTGAAGAAGACGTGGAAGTGCGGCTACATCGAGTGCTCGGCCAAGTACAACTGGCACATCCTGCTGCTCTTCAGCGAGCTGCTCAAGAGCGTGGGCTGCGCCCGCTGCAAGCACGTCCACACCACCATCCGCTTCCAGGGCGCCCTGCGCAGGAACCGATGCACCATCATGTGAGCCCCCCCGGCCCCCATGGACCCCTCTGGCCGTGCCATTGTGGCCACCCATCCTTGGGGACCGCGGCTCCCCGGTGTCACCGCTCTATGGGAGTGATGTTGTGGTGGAAGCGGTGCTGGAGGCACCTCGGGGTTTGCTGCCCCGCCAGCGCTGGTACCCTGCGGTGACATATGGGGACGGTGCACCTTGGACAGGGTGATGCCATGGGCAGGAGGGTGGCCGGGATGCCTGGAGAGAGCAAGGGGTGAGGGAGGACCATGGTTAAAGTGAGCCCTCCCCAAGCCTCCGGCACTCGGGGTCAAAGCTGTCCTGGTTTGTGTCTCTGCGGTGCCTGACATGCTGTATGGCACGGGGGGGGGTAAAGGAGATGCCTCAGGTGGTACCCACAGGTTGGCTGTTGGGTCCATCCTTCCCTGGCATCTGCTGCCTGCCATCACCTGCCTCCTGGAAGGGAATTGCCCAGTGCCTGTGTCCCAGCGTGGCTCCATCCCTGCGGCACGGTGGAGCTGGGAGTCCCCCCTTCAGAACTGGGGTTCCTCTCCTAAGGGCAGAGCAGCCTCCAGCAAGAGGCCGGGTCAGAGGGGCTCTCTTTTGGCTCGGTTGGGTCACATTTCCAGGTGGAATTTCTGGATGAAAGCAAGAAAGGTGGGGGGGGGGGGGAGGAAAATGCTAAACTACAGCCCCCATCCTGCTCCTTACATCCCATGGGTGCTGCGTGCTGCTTCCCCAGGGCCTTGAGTCCCCCTTTTCCCCCAGTTCAGCCAAGGAAGGCTCCTCCTCCCCACGGCCTGTGGAACACCAAATAACCCCGGAATGCTGCTTGCCGGGCAGGTCACCCCTCCGCTACCTCGTGTCCCGGGCTCAGCGGGATCCAACCGCCCCCCGGTGTCCCCAGGGCAGCCCCTCACTCCATCACCCCACACCGGCTTTCCCATCGGGATGCTCGCCTCCATCCATGTGCGATGGCAGCGGTGCGAAGGCATCCCCCAAAGCAATAGGGACCTGGACTTTGATTTCCAGTCGCGTTCCTTTTTTTTTCCCTGTTTATCCCTAATAGGAAATGGAGGCCTCGTTATTAGGTTTTAATCTTCCAGCTTGTTCTACACCAGATTGAAGCTCATCCTTGTCTTCTGGTGCCAAGGGCAGCTCCTGTTAGGAAATGGTGCTGGGAGGATGTGCTGGTGAGGTGTTGTGGTGCCTCCTCCTCTGGCTCCCTTTGGGACATGGGGAAGTGCATCCCCACCTCCCAAAGCAGGATGTGATCCATGGATGTGATCCATGTCAGTGGTTTCTGGTGTGACAAAGGCGATGCAGGTGTTCCGCAGCGCTCTGGCTCCATCTCTTCCCCCACTCCAGGTTTCCATCCCACAGCAGCACCGCTGTGCTTTGGGGGGCACTTTCCACTCAGTGCATTTCATGCCCCATGAGCTGCCCTGCAGCCCAATGCTGGGGGGTTTGGGGTCACCCTGCTCCTCTTTCCCACCCCCGGCACCCAAACCCCATTCCCCTTGCTCCAAAATGGTAAAATAAGGGAAAACCAAGAGAAAAGGTGGTGGAGGAACACAGCTGCTCGGAGGCAGGCAGTGGCACCCATCCCCATCCCTCGCCTTCATGGCAAACTGACCGGGCTTCCTCATGGCCCTGACCTCATCCCATCAGGATTTATGGACACGTGTGAGTCCACGTTACCGGTCTCTGGTTGGCTTTACCCCTCCAAATTGTTTGAGAAGGAAACTCCTTGGTAAATGCTAATAATAAAGCATTTCTAAAGTGCTCCGATGTACACATATCAACGACTAAACCAATACATTGTTTGTTATAACCCTGTAGCCTGCAGTTTATAGCACAATTAGTTACCGGTTTTTATAGCATCTGTTTAGTATTTTGGAGAAAAAGAAAGAAAAAGTTATAAATATAATTGTTATATTCTATTGCACTTTATAGACAAAGTTATATTAGTAATAATAACTCACTGCTCTGACAGCATTTCCCAGCTCCCGAGATAAAGGGGGCTACAAAGAGCTCCTTTCCCAGGAGGAGGGAGTATGTGGGGGTACCCACAGGGAAAGCAGGGCTGGGAGGTCTGGAGCATCCCAGGCTGGCAGGGATCAGAGCAGCAGCTGCAAGAACCCTGCTCCTTGCCCTTCAACACAAAGCCACCCTGGTCCTGCTTGGACCAACCTGCTCCTGAGCCCGGCAGAGGCTGAGGATGTCCCCAGGGTGGTGATGGGTGCGCGTGGTGCCTGGGCTCGGTCCAGCCCAGCAAGGATGCTTCTCTCTCCTCCTCCTCCTGCCCCCGTGAGTGTCCCAGTTGCCTGGACTTGGCTTTCCTTTTCCCCCTGGACCTCTTGTTGGAGCTCCCCGAGGTGTCTGCACCGCCTGTGACGCCCTGCACTCCCTCGTTTGAAATGGAATTAAAAATCAGGTCTGTCCCCTTGTTCCGTACCCGCCTCGCTGCTCTTTGCCCGTGCCACCAGGTTCCGCTGTCGCAGCTCTCGTACGAGGGGCAATGGGCCAGGGAGGGGGAACTGGTCTCTCCCCTGCCAAAGGAGCAGTTTTGCCACCAGCTTTGGCATCCCCAGGACCCCGGCGCTCTCCTTTGCTGCTCCTCTGCAGGGGTGTGGGTCTGGCTGATTCCTCTCTCGGAACATGGGGTTCTTCTGGCCCCTATGGGGCTCTCAGAGGGGTGTTTGCTGTGCAGGAATTCCCTTCGCCATGACCCCCCATCAAGATCATCCTCTGTCCCTCCCCATCCGTATGGAAAAGATGCTGGAACAGAAGAGCTTTGGTATGTCTTTATTGCACAAACACGGACGGGTCCATGGCTGCAGGCGATGACCCTGGGTGACAGCCACCACACTGACCATCACCACCGCCCCCCTGGGTCTCCCACCATAAAGAAGCCCACGGGGCTCAGCAAGGGTCACTCCTCTGAACCCCCTCCCTCCAGTCTTTAAGGCTCTTGGTGCTGTAAGAGGGTTGTTAATCCTGTTGTACAGATGGGGAAGACTGAGGTATGAGATGGTCTGCACTTCTGGGTGCTGAGTGCGAGGTGTCCCCACTTTGTGGGGCCAGCTGCACCCCTCTTCCCTGCAGAAAGCACCCCATTCTCTCAACCTGGGGCTGGATTTTTCCACCCAAAACCGGCACAAGAGCGCCTGCTGAGGAGGAGAATTAGGGTGGTCCACAACCAACTCCATGGGGAAGGAGAAGCTGCAGCTCCAAAAAGCAATGGGGGGACCCCTTGGGTGTCCTGGGAGCAAATTCATCCTTCCCACACCAACCTTGGGTACCACAGCTCCAGCTCCAGCATCACTTAGGACAAGTGTAGGGTCCAACCCTGCTGAACCTGGGTGTCAGACCCACGCCTCCTCATCATCCTCAGTCAGCCAGGCACCGCTGTCAGCCAGTGATGGCTTGGCCATGGGATGGGTGCTGCTGGGCTGGGGGTGCCGGGGGAGCCCCGTGGGGCGATGCTGACCCCGGGGGACTTGCGGCCGCTGCCCCATTGGGGTGGGGATGCGCGAGGGCCGCTTGCCTGGCCTGTGGTCCCGCCGGGGACGCACCTTGGGCCGCAGCTTCAGCTTGTAGATGGAGGGCACGCGTTCAGGCTTCTTCAGGCACCGCCGGGGCTTGGGGACGCTGCCGGCCCTGGCTGCCCGCAGGGTCTGGGCCCCCTTTGCTGACCCCTCTGCCTGCCCCTCATCCGGGGGCACAGTGGGCTGTGGGTCAGCTTGTGGGACCATGCTGGGGACCCAGCTCCCCGCAGGGCGCAGGGGTTGGTGCCCACGGGAGAGCTCCTCCACTACCTTGTCATAGCCAGGGGGCTGCGCGTGCCCCCGGCACCCCTGCATCCCCTCACTCCCCACAGCAGGCCCACAGGCTCCCCCCGCTTCATCCACCAGCTCCTCAGCATCCCCAGCCCTTGGGCTTGGGGCTGGGGGGCACTGCTGGGGGGCACAGCCCTTGCACCCTGGGGTGGGGGGCCGGCAGGAGGCTGGGCTGGCTTTGGTAGGGGATTTAACGCTGCTGTCCTGCTTTGGATGCTGCCTGGAGGGGGTTCGGGGTGACAAGGGGTGGCCCCGGCCAGGGGCTCCCCATCTCCCTTCCCGCGGGCTCTGTGAGTCACCCTGGTGTGGGGAAGGGGCATGGACCTTGATGGGGCTGCGGGCACGGGGGTGCAACACAGCAGGGACCCCCCCTTCCTGCGGCCTGGCTGCCTCCGCAGGCAGTTTCCCCCCTTGCTGGGTGGGTTTTGGGGGTGCTGGTGCCAGCCGGGTGCTGGGTGCCCTGGGCCTGCCCCGTGCTGGTGCCATGGGGGATTTCACTGGGGTGCTCCCATGCAGTGCCCTGCCCTGCGCGCTGGGGGCTACACGGGAAGGGGTGGGTGCCCTGCTCGGCACCCTGCAGGCGGAGCTGGGTCGAGCGGGTGACCTGGATGGTGGCGGTTGCCGTCCCAAAGGGGGAGCTGATGGCTCTCGGGTCCTGCAAGGGGAAAGAGGGGAGAGAGGGGCTGGGGAGATGCTGCATTCCCCCACCCCCCATTCCATCCCGCCTGGAGCCGGGCACCTCCAGAAGGGAGAGGGAAGGGAATGCAGGGATGTGAGGAAAACTGCCCAAAGCGGATGGTTTGGGGCACGAAGCATCCCTGCATCACTCACCTGCCCGAAGGAACCCTCCGGGGCTGCTCCCGGCGGGGGCTGGCACTCACTGGGTGACCTGAGCCCTCCGGAGACGGGGGCCTCGGGCCGGGGGGGACTCGGGACCCCCATGTGACAGGGGGCAGGGGGCTCTGCGAGCGGCTGACCAGCACGGTGGGCTGGGGCTGGCCGCGGCCCTTGGCGGCTGGGCACAGCCTGATCTCGTGCTGCACTTGCTGCTGCGGGCTCCTGCTCTTCAAGGCTTGTTTGTGAGCTGTAGGGAGAACAACGCGGGGCTCAGCACCGCTGCCCGTGCACCCACCCATCCACCCACCCCCCCGGTACAGCACCCCCCTCCCCAGCCGCTGCTCAGCATCCGGCCCCTCCGGGATGCTCCCTGCAAAGGGGCTTTTGGGGACCGGCTCCATCCATCAGTCTGCCGTGACCTCTAGCGGCCACCGAAGCCAACGAGAGGCCCCGCAACCACGCAAAGCAACGGGGCAGGGCAGGAATGAAGCCTTCCCCTCTGTTAAACGGGACCCAGACCCACGGCGGACCCCCCTAACCCGAGCCGCAGGTCTGGGGATGCAGGGACTCACAGAGCGAGGTGCAGCGGCACGGGTCGTGCTTGTCCAGGTAATGCTCCAGTGTGTCCCAGCCGCCCCCGACCCGCACCATGACGTGCTCCCGCAGGATCTGCAGGGGATGCCGTGTGCTGTGGGACCCGCTGGGACCCACACCTCTATAGGGAGCCTGCTGAGCAGGGCTTTGAGGGCTCTGGGCTTGCTCTAAGTGCCACCGGGTCTCCCAAAGGATACAGCTTCATCCCTGGCTCTGTGCACTGAAGAGGGGCAGGTGGGGGGCTCAGCTCCCGCTGCCATCCCAATGGGCACATTTCATCACCCCGAGGAGAGTGGGGAGCCTTGTGGAAAACCCCGCTCCACCATCACATGCTGAGCCCTTTGGGATGGATCCAGGGAGGGATGGAGCATCCCAGTGTTCCCACTGCTGGATAAGACCTGGCTCTGGCTGGAATGGCAGGTTTTGCCCTGTACACATGGGTGGTTATATCCATGCAAACATGTACTGCAGGGCTGAGCCTCCCTGCTGCCCAGCTTTGGGGATCACAGTCAAAACCCACACATTGACCCCATTTTGGGGGTGGATTATGGAAGGGGCTTTGTGGCAGCAGAGTAAAATTCCTGCTGCCTGCGCCCTAAAAGCTCGGGGCCAAGCAGACTCACCCGGACAAAGATGAGGGTGTCAGAGTCACCCACACGGTATTTCCCTTCGGATATCTTGATCATGGGGAACTGGACGGGGCAGGTACAGCGGCTCACCAGGTGCTGGACCTGCAGGCACCAGGGATAGGTCCTCATCGTGGTCACTGGGAAAGGTCCTGGGGTGGACATTCCCATCCATCTCCATCCCTATCCCTATCCCCATCGCCATCCCCATCTCCATCTCCATCATCTGTCTCCATCTCCACCTCCACCCATCTCCTTCTCCATTGCCATCCCTTTCCCCACCCATCTCCATCTCCACCCATCTCCATCTCCATCCCTATCCCCATCACCACCCCCTACCCCACCCATCTCCATCTCCATCCCCATCCCCTTGGCCTTCCCCATCTCCATCTCCATCTCTCTCCATCTCCATCTCCATCTCTCTCCATCTCCATTGCCATCTCCACCTCCACCCACTTCCATCTCTATCTCCATTGCCATACCCTTCCCCACCCATCTCTTTCCATTGCCATACCCTTCCCCACCCATTTCCATCTCCGTCTCCATCCCCATCCCCTACCCCACCCATCTCCATCTACATCCCCATCGCCATCCCATTTCCATCTCCATCTCCATCTATCTCCATCTCTGTGACAATCTCCACCTCCACCCATTTCCATCTCCATCGTCATCTTTACCTCCACTCATCTCCATCCCCATCGCCATCCCCTTCCCCACTCATCTCCATTGCCATCTACACCCATCTCTATCTCCATTGCCATACCCTTCCCCACCCATCTCCATCTCCATCTCCATCTCCATCTCCATCTCCATCATCTCCATCTCCATCCCCATCCCGCTCCCTGCCCCTCCAATACCATCTGGTCGAGGTGGAGGTCCCGTGGTTTCCGGGGGGCCCGGGGCAGGGGGATGTCTGTGGGTGGCAGGTCCAGCTCCTGCCGCAGCTCCTCCTCGATCTCCTGCTCCATCTGCACTAGGGTTGGGGCGCGCATCCCGAAGCGGGCGGCACGGCGCGCCAGCTCCAGCAGGCACAGCACAAAGTTCTTCTCATTCTTCCTCAGCACCAGGTCCTCCGTCTCGAACATCAGCACATCTGGGGCAGGGCAGGCTGGGCTGAGCTAGGGCCGGTGCGCGGGGATGGGGACAAAGGGGAATATGGGGCACAGGTGGAGTCAAAATCCACCCGAAGGGATGTTGTTCCCTGAAGCCATCCCTCTAGGAATGGTCCCATGAGAGTTGGGGTAAAGAAGCCTTCTTCTTGAGCATCCACAAGTGAAATCACTGTGGCTCTCTCATGGCATCCCAAAGCCACAAAACCCGGTGTGCAGGGGTTGTGTCACTCCATGCCTATGCTTTTCCCAGGCACGCACCGATGGTGGGGACAGGGTGAGAGACCCTTTGCTCAGAGCCAGGACTGCTCCTGACGGGATGATGTTTGGGATCATGCCGTAGCATGCATCCTTTCCAATTCCACCCTTCCAGCACCCAAGCAAACACATCATCCGAGTGCCAGCACCCTGCTGCCAAGCCTGGAGGAGCTTGTGCAAGAAATCCCAGCTCTGGGACGTGTGCCCATGGTGCTGGGTGGCACTGGCTTTGTGGGACGTATGGGGAAACCCACAGGGCGATGCCAGGAGCAGCCATGGGGGAATCGCACCCAGTCATGCTCAGCCTGGCACCTTACCTTTGATATCCATCTCCTTCCTGCACCACTGGATGAAGTTGGAGACGTTGTCCCTAGCCTGGAAGGTGCCGGGCTGCGCGGCCACGTTACAGGCGACACCGGCAGCGGGCAGGCGGAGGTGCTGGGCTGCATCGGGACAGGCACGGGAGAACTCCGCGGCCACGTGGGTGACGTTGTTGGCGTGGGAGCAGAGCACGGAGCCCGTCTCCAGCGCCTCCACGAAGGTGCCCACCTCGATGTCCAGGTCATAGAGCTCCTTCAGCCACTCGGCCAGGTCCTCCTTCATGGCATAGAGGTACTGCTCGCTGGAGCGGTAGGGACGGATGCTCCGCACCGCCGGGCACGGCGGCCCCCACATTTTGCCATAAGACTGGGAGGAGATGGAAGGGGAAGGGTGATGGGGACATGGGTGGTGTGGACACGGGTGATGGGGACGTGTCCCCAGCCCACCTCCCCACCGGCCACACTCACCTGGTGCCGCGTGCTGTCGGCCACCCGGGATGGCGACGCCGTTGTCCCGGTGGTGTCAGGAGCCCTTCTGGGCTCCGAGGGCTGTAACGCAGCGTGGGGAAAGGAAATCGCCCTCCTGGGCAGTGGGTGTTTTGTTTCCTTCCCAAGTGCTGCTCCCTTCTCCTTGGTGACAAGGGACCGGCTGCAAACACTCCCCGTTAACCCTTCAGCACCTGCTCCTCCTCCTGCTCCTTCTTCCCCAGCCACCCCAGGGCTGGATTCTCCCAGAGGCCCCTGGATCTGGGGCAGGAGGCGGTTAGGGAGCAGCTCCTCAGCATCTCGAGTTGCTCACAACCAAAAGAGGGGGGATTTTCCCCCTTCACACCACCCTTGCACCCACCTCCAGGATCTGAGGGCCCTACAAGATGCATCTTCAGGGCTTGGTACCCTGAATTACAGCCCTGAGGCGATCACATTCTTTGCACCCATTTCAGAAGCTCAGGCGCAGCTGAGGTGCCACCGAGTGCTGTGCAAGCCCAAACACACCGTGGTGAGGAGCCAACCCAAACAGGGGACCTCCAGCATGGGTGATGCTGGGCAGGGCTCCCTCCTCTCTAGATGGGGTGCCCAGAGGCTGAGCTCTGTGCAGGTCCAGTGTGAGGACCTGATCACATCATGGGGGTGATGCTCACACCAGTCCCCCTGCATCCCTCCTGTCTGCTCCATGCAGCACAGCAGCACCAGGAGCTGGAAAGCCAAACCCTGAAGCAAGAGCTTCCCAAAGCAGTGGGGATCAGGGCAGAGAGGCCTCGGAGGGGGCTGATCCTGATGGAGACACCACTGCCATGGATTGCTCTGTGCTTTCCACCAAGACATGGAGCAGGGACTGAGAGCCGAGCAGTCCCGGACCCCTCTGCTCCCCCTCCATCAGCTCCTCCCAGCCACAACCCCCAGGCTGATCACAGCATCTTCACTTACCCCATCATTTGCTTTCATCTCCTGATAAAAAGGCCGGTGGTTTTGTTCAAGTTTGGGTGCAAATCCCTATACTTGAACTCACGATGATCCCTTGATCCCGCTGCAGGCGACAGACAGGTCTTGTCACCCCCAAAGGCTGGGGACCAGAGCAGCTCCCTGCAAGCACCAGCTCCCTTTGCCTGAGGGCTCAGCCCTTTGTGGGAGCTGCAAATCACAGCACAAACGCATCAGTCCTCTCCCCCAAACCTCCTTCTGAAAAGCAGATCCATACAACGAGCATGAAGGGGGGGTTGATTGCATCCCACCTTTGGGGTTTGTCTGCACTGTGATCCCTTGCAAACTTCATCCCAAATCGCCCATGCCAGCGAGGTCTGCGGCAAAAGCCGAGCTCCTCCATGGATGGGGTGATCCCAAGAGCTGGGGCTTTAAGAGAATGACTACATGGATGAGTGGGCACTGCTGGGAATGTCGGAAACTCCCTCCCTAACCCAGAGCTGCCCAGCACCCAGGTACTTGTGCAAACAAACCCACCAGGGATGTGCTTGACCTTGGGATTGAAATGGAGCTTCTCCTGGGCTTGGGGGCTTCTTGCTGTGTCCAGGGCCCTGTCCTCTCCCTGGATGATGCTCACTGCAGATAACTGTCTGTTCAGTGTCATTTTGGGGGAGGAAACGCAAGAATCCCAGCTATTCCCGGGGCCGGGAATGCACGGAGGCCGGAGGAGTCTGTGCCTGCCGTGTGCCAGGGAGCCCAGCAGCAGAAAAGGACACTTGTGAAGCAGGAGTTTCCACCAGCGGGGCTGACTGCACGGCTCAGGGTGCGCATCCATCTCCCACAGGTCCCCCCATCCTTGCGGGGTTCAGGCGATGCAGCAGTCACCCCATTGCTCAGCATCATCCGTGACCACAATGCATCCTGACAGCACAGAGCCTCTGGAAACACTGCACAAGCAAGGGAAGAAAAGGAAACCCCAAAGCCAGGAGAGCAGCAGGGTTCCTCAGGAAGCACCAGCCCAGTGCCCTGCCTGGGCCAAGGCAGCTCCTGCCTTCCCTGTGAGAAGGTCCAGGGTGGGAGAGGGCAAGCAGAGGATGCTGGCACTGGGAGGGGATGCTGACATGGCCCCCGGGCTCAGCAGCCCAGCACAGCACCCTAACACAGGGCACCCAGTGCTGGGACTGAGTCCTGGGCGAGCCATCAGTGAACCGTCAGCCCAGCATGGTGAAAATCCCTAAATCCCTCGAATCCAAGCACATCATGAAGCTCAGCACCTGCTCAGCACCAATGATCGGCGACACTGAATTCAAGCCCTGGGGACCTGACACTCCCCCACCAGAGAGAGTCATCTCCTATGGGAGACAATGGCCCTTTGCAGATGGGACCGGTGACTCAGTGCGCAGGAGCCAGCAGCGTTTCCAGGTGGGGAACCTGCTTTGGGAAAGGAATGAGGACTGGTGCAGCCGAGCTGTCCTCGCAAGCGTGCACGGGCACGTCCGTCTGTCCTCCTCCCCCAGTGCTGTGCCAGTTATTCACATCCAACTGTGGCGCAGGACTCAAAGGCAGGTTGATCCTGTCTGCTGCAGATGGAGGACACTTTGCACGCAAGAAAAGCTGCCAGCTCAGCACAGCCCTTATGAGCCACCTGAGAACCCACCCATCATAAAGCCTGGCTGCAGTGCTCCTGCTGCCTGTGAGTGCCATGGTCAGCAGCTCAGCCCTCCCTTCCTCATAGAGGCTCTTACACCAAAACCCTCTTCACCCCCCAAACCCCGCAGTGTTCGTGTCTGCAGCTGGGATGTGAACCCAGCACGGCACCGCAGGGCTCATCCTCCATCCTGGGATGAAGGAATGGAGGAGGCAGGAGCAGGGGTCTGTGCACACAACAGGGCAAAGCTCAACACGGACCCGGGGTTTTGTCCCATTCTCTCTTTTCTCTTTGGTTGTAACCAGGAAACATTCTTGAGGCTCTTATTTAAACCCCCCCAAGGCCCAAGGTGAGCAATGGCAAAGCACTTCTTTGCCTGGCCATGGCTAAAGGATCAACAGCCCCCAGTCCCAGTGTGGAAGACAAATGCACAGCGATCCCCTGACCATTCACGGGAAGGAGCACTGCAGTCTCATGGCTTATACCCTTGCTTTGCAGTCTTAACATTGTCTCTCCAAGCCTCCAGCCTCTGTCCATGGCAGAGCCGCTGGGGCTGACGGCTCCATCCCCACTGCATCACGCCCGGCTCCAGCCACCCTGCTGGTCCCCTCCAAACCGCTCCCATTCAGTCACACGAAGAGGGCTGCAGGCAGGGGCTCAGAGCCCTGTTTTGTCCAGCTCAGAAGAGGTCCTGCCCACCGCCGGCATCCCAGCAGCCCATCCAGGGCAGCTCTGCCGCCCATTTGCCGCTGGCCACCACTTCCAGCTTCCCCGGGTGGAAGCGCCAGTACCGCTCATCCCTGAAGAAGTAGACGGAGCCGTCGCGGTGGGTGAGGGCACCCGCGGTGCCCGAGGGCAGCCCCTGCCAGTCCCGCAGGCTGCGAGGGTAATAGGGCTCTGGAGCGAGGGGCTCCTCGCCCAGCACGAAGTACTTGGGTCCCTTGAAGAGCACCATGCGCCGGAGCTGCTGGAAGTGCAGCGCCGTGTCCGGGTGCCGCGGGAGCCCGCGGGCGCTGCACTTCAGAGGGAAACCTGCATCCAAGCTGGAGCCCGCGTAGCACCAGCATCTCCCTCCTAGGGAGAGATGGGGAGAGGTTAGGGTCCATCCCAGGGCGGTCCTGCCATGGGGCCTTGTGACATCCACCCTGCTGGTGATCCAAGCAGCACCCATGGAGCGGGATGTGGGGAAACTGATGCACGGTGGCTTGGAGGCATCAAAAGGGACCCCGCGGACAGAGCAAAGCCCCCGTGCTGCCTGCTAGCCCATGCTGCTGCCTTGCAAGCCTCCCCCTTGTTCCCCAGTGTGTGGGGCACGGATCCAGAGCGGTGCTGCCGCAGCAGGAACTGCAGCCGGGGCTGAGCGCTCAGCTCTCCCCACAGAGCCTTATCCCCACAAAGCAGGCAGACAAAAGCCTCTTTCTGCTCACAAGCCGCAGCCTGCTCCAGCCATAGGGAGGGAGGGAGCAGCCGAGGGCTGTGGAGGCAGAGGGGCTTTTGGCTCTCACCCAGCCACAGCAACAAAGCCCCCTTTCTGACCAGCCAGCTCCGGGTTTCCATTCAAAGCTGTGGCTGACCCTGCAGCGGGGCTGCCTGCTTTGACCTCCGTCTACCCAGCCAGCCTGTGGATGGCATTTGAGCTCCCCACAGCAGCTCAGCCCCTAGCGTGGTGCAGGGAGCCATGCGTACCATGAAAACACCGCTCTCAGCTCCCCTCTGCCCATGTGTCACAGGGGACATGTTCTCCCTGAGACCCCAAAGGGTTTGATGCATCTGGTTTTGTTGTTAAACACCAGTGAGCGCTGCTCTACTGTATGGGGAAACTGAGGCTGCGGGGGTGACACCGCCAAGGCCACGCACAGGGCTCCTGTGGGGTTCAGCACACCGGGCACGCAGCGATGCTCCCTCCCTGTACCGCGGGCATCACGGGCAGGAGGAGGTGCTGTGGACACCAGGCAGCCAGGGCAGAGGCAGGAGCTCTCCTGCTCACCTACCTTTGAAGAAGTAGAACTTATTGCTGCTCTGGGACCAGGCAGCGGCATCGATGCCAGCAGGGAGGCCAGGCCAGCGGTTCTGCAGCGGCTGTGGGTCGCTGGCGTTGCCGTGCACCGGCACCATCCAGTAGTGGTTGCCCTTGAAGATGTAGATGTTGTGATCCCCATCTGCAGAGAAGAGGGAGGAGTGAGGATGTCCCGGGTGAGAAACCTCACCCCAGCTCCCATGCGCCGGTTCCCCTCTCCTCCCCATGCAGTGCTTTGAGGACACTCAGGTTTTGGATGCTCCATTCTGCCTTTCCAGCTACACCTCCCTGCTTTCATCGTTCATTGTCTCCAGCCTGGAGAGGATAAAAGCTGAGCACAGCTCCTGCTCAAGGCTTGTCTTTCACACTTGAGCTCCTGCAGTGAATAAGCCTTTGCCATGGCCAAGTGCTAGGATGTTTTCCTTGCTCCTAACACACTGAGCCATCGCTGCATCCTCACGATGGACTTTGTGGCAGCGATGTGCACCAGTGATGCCATCAACCCCAGGAGCAGGTACCGGGTCAGCCAAACCCACCTTTCCCACCACTGTAGCTCAACAGAGCAAGGGGCAAGCTGGGGCAAGCTGGAGCAAAGGGTAGGGATGCATGTTCTGGGAGAGGTTTGCACCATCCAGCACTCACCAGAAGTTATGGCATCGAAGAAGGAGTGGCAGTAATAGGCACTGGGGCTCCTCTGCTGCCGATCCCCACCGTAAGGATCTGTGCTCCAGTCCTGGAAGTGAGTGAAGACCTTCCCCGGGAGCTGGATGGCCAAGCCCTTGGATGGCTTCCCTGGGATGGAGCAA